AAGGATGGGAAGGGACAGAGGGCACAGGTGAGAACACAGCTGTACTTAGCCAGTTTGAAACATTTGGAGAGCACGACCCCAAGAAAGTGAAAAAGGGAAAGGGGGCCTGTATTGACCTAAATGTTTCATTCTCAACAAAATTCGTATGTTGAAATCCTATCCCCAAAGGTGATGGTATTAGGACGTGGGGCCTTTGAGATCAGTGCTCTAAAAAAGACACCCCACAGAGCTCCTGAGCCCCTTCCACCATGTGAGGATGAATAAGTCTGCAACCCAAAAGAGGGCCCTCACCCATCCATGCTGGCACCCTGACCTCTTATTTCCAGATCTGTGAGCAGTAATTTCTGTTTATAAGCTGCCCAGTCTGTAGTATGTTGTTATAGCAGCCTGAACTGACTAAGACAAGGCCAAACTAAGAATCTTCCTAGTTAATTCTCTAAATAGTAAGTCCGCCAGGAAACCACCTATTCCTAGTTTCCAGAAAGTTTTGCATTCCAGGTAATGCAAGATTCATTCACTTGTTTATCCATTCAACAAACAGAGCAGCTCAGACCAATATTATCTATTGGCTTTGTAAATATATCTGCTTCTTAGCAGAGAATTAGCAAAAAACTTACATGTGAATTTGGACTGTTCTAAATAATTTCTGTAGGTTACATAGTTACATGCTTATAATTCAAACATACCAAGGACAAAGGGAATATTCTAAAAAAAAAAAAAAATAATAACACTTCAAAAATTATTAAAAAGGCCTGGAAATGTTTAAATTGAAAAGATAGTTTAGCATCAAGTCAGGGTCTGAATATACCAGAACTGCTGTCTTAGCAAATTGACTCCCTGGGGGTCTGCATAGAGTATACATGAAACTGGAAATGCACAGGCCTTTGGTTCCCTAATGGCTGTAGGGAAATATTCTAATTTATTTGGAATCTGCCAAAAAAAATAGCTTACCCTTTAGTTATGTATCATTTTATGTTTTCAAATATTTAATAAACTTTATTGATTCTTGCTGATCATTTTTCTATGACACACTTAGAAAAGTAAATTAAGTGTTTTAGAATTTTTTCTCTAAACACCCTCCATAAAATTTAATTATATCGTGTTTCATTTATACAGGTCTTAGATGCTATTTTACCTCCTTTGTGTCAATGATCAACATAGGGAAAAAAAGGCTCCCACCCATTCCTTACTTGGTATTTATATGCCTGTAAGTAAAGACATTGGTTTTACCTACGAACTACTATAGTCAAATTGTTGCAGAAATATGGATTAATTACTGCAGAAGCAATGTAATGCTGTTACCAGGAATGAGAGAATTAAATCCAGGATACAGGGCACTACCTATTAGAGAAAGTGGTCGGGATTTGTATTTGAATGATGGTGGTATATTAAGGTGTAGTAGGGACGGTGAGATGGAAGGACAGAGAAAGCCTCACCACAGCACGTGGAAGTTTCTCGTTAGGAGAGCCTAGTGGCTCACTGTGCCTGTCAAGTAGGCTAATGTGCCTGTAAATTCCCTCTGACAGAAAACACATCACAGCAGCAGCACCAGAAAACAACACAACCAAACTGTGGAAGACTAAAAGCTCAGTGCTTTCAAGGGTGATCAGAATATAACAGTAAAAAAAAAAAAAAAATACAAGGCATTGAAAATAAACAAAGGCTAGGAAGAAATGAGATCACTTTCTAAGAAAAAAAGCAGTTATCATTATAGGCCAAAGAAAATGCTTCTCACACGGCTATTTTTTATGTATTATTTGGCAGTATCAGTTCAAGGTCAAAAATTTATCAGAGGGCAAAGAGAATATAACTCAAGATTTAAGATTTGTCATGACTAGCTTTGTAATTGCATAAATATTAAATATGTAGAAATAATTGTAAGCACATTATCTCCACATCTCCACATGTTGCTTTAATTTTTAATGTAATCTTTTATCCGCCTTTCCCTCAGCTGGCTGTGGGTTTGTGATTTGCATAGCTAGAATGATCCGGTGCCATCAATTTAGTAATGAAGTCACTCATTGAGCAGGATAGGTTTCTAAAGAATATACAGAGCTGTCGGAAAGAAGAGTGTGGAAATGAAATTTTATGGTTTAGGTAAATGGGAAGTTTATTTTAGAACACATTTTCTCATTGTAAATTTAATATGGCCACTTTAAAATAAATTTGAAAAACAGAGAAGCGGGGAAATAAGTACCCATATTTTCACCACCCTAACTTACCGGTGTTTTATATCCTAGTCTTTTATACCTATGCATATATATTTTTAACATAGTTGTAATCACAGTTATATGTGTGTATATAATTTTGCATCCTGCTTTTTCTCTTATTAGTGGAACTATATTAATAAGCTATTAATATAACTATTAATATAGTTATTAATATAACTACATAACATAACTTTTAAGACTGTAAAATGATAATAAAAAGAGGGGTTTGTAATTTACTTATCCACTAAATTTCTGATGACTAGCAGAGCAGAGTGGTTAAGCTCCTGAAACTGAAGCCAGATGGATCAAATACCAGCTTTGCTACCTAACTGTTGATTTGGGCAGGTTACTAAAAGCTGTGCCTCAGTTTCCTCATCTGTAAAATGGGAATAATAAAAGTGCCTCTATTAGAGTGTTCTTGTGAGAGTTAAAGGAAACAATTCACAGAAAGCACTTAGCCTGGCTCTGTCATATAGGAAGTAGTAAAACTAAGTGCTATTAAAGACAAAAAGTCAAATACATTACATTGACTTTTTAATTTTTTTTTTTTTTAAGGAAAGCTTGAGTCCTTAAAAATGTGAGTTTCCTAAGCCATTGCCATCACTCAAGAAGCTCCCATTTGTTTTTTCCCAGTAACAACTCCTGGCATCCACCACTAACCAGACATTGATGGTTAACAGTTCAACATGTAAGTATGTGTACCTAAAAATATATTTTAGCTTTGTCTGCTATTGAATTTGATATAAGTGGAATCATATGCACACATGCATGCACATGTGCACACAATATCACTCTGTATTAGAAGGCATACAATTTAAGGCTTGATTTTGTTGTGATGAAAAAGTTTTGGGGGAGTATTTGAGATCTTGCTCCCCAGCATGTTGTCAATTTGGCTCAAATAAATTCTTATAAAATTTTTAAAAAAAGAAAAAAGCTTTGGACAGGGAGCCATAAAACTAGGGTTCTAGTCCAGTATCCATGAGACCTTGAGCAAATCTTTTTGCCTCTTTGGGGCCTCCATGTAAAACGTTTGGATGTGTTAAGTGTCTTTGAAGCTTTATAGTACTAAATTGTTAAGCCCTTCCATTTGATTATTGTGTTAACATATGAAACATCAGAGCCAAAGAGAATCCAGAGAAAGGTCTGGGGCCTGCTGGAAACATGCCTCCTCTTCCCCCAAATCATGCTAATAATCATGTCAGCAAACAAAGGGCTATAGAAAAATGAAAGGAATGATACTACAACTACATCACAACTAATTTTCCCATTTTTGATATGTACACATTTAGATATATTATTGGCCTTAATTATCATGTGCATAGAGGATATTTTTCCTGGGATAAATCATAGCCAAAAAGATTTTAATGTCAGTTTTGAATATTTTATAATGTTTTGTATATACTTTGTATATATTATATTTACAATACTCTGTATAAGTATTTGTATTTATCCCAATACTGTTCATGGTAAATGTTGCAGGTTGTCTTACTAAATGTCCATTCCACCCTCCTCTTATGGTGGCTTCATAATGCAGAGACTGGAAGCTTAAAGAATTTTCTAGACTTCTTTGCTCCTAGAGCATGGATATGAATTAGATCTGTCAATTAGATATACTCATGCAAAGTTTAAAAAACGTAAGTGAAGTTGGTGCATCCTCCTGAGCATTTTTGGCTGTATTTCTTTTATAATAAAGGTTATATAAATATTTTTCTGCATGGCATTCCATGGCCCATTATTTAGCCCCTGGGAAACAATAAGCAGTTGTAGCAGTTGTGACAGCAGTAGCTTTCTGACTCCACCTTCTATCATAAGGTTAACTTATTGAATCGTGTTCTGGTAGTCCTCAGCAGTAATAGCTCCACTCATAGGTCAACTCTGTACTGTACTGTACTGGAATCACTGATTCTTGGACGCTCAGATTGTAACTCACTTCTTCAATCCTGACATGGATTTTTGCAAGCACCTTCTATTAAATACCTTCATACTTAAAATACTTAGAATTGTTTCTGTTTGTTTACACTGAACCCTGACTCTTAGACTTCCTAAATGTTATTTTGGAAAATCTAGTCACTGTAACACAAGGTATAAAGTACTATAACTCTATGGAATGTTGTAGCAGGAAAAGGAGTTTTGAAGTTAGAAAAAGCAAGCTATCCCATTTAAGAGCTACGTATCCTAAAGCAAGTTATTTAGCCTCTCTGTATCTAAGTTTCCTTATATATAAAATAAATATTAATATACCAATCTAGCAGGGTTAAGAGAATTAAGTGAGGCAACACAAATAAAGCACCTAAAATAGGCTAGTCACTCTACAGTGTTCATTCCTTTCTACACCTGTATTGTGCCTCCTTTCATGATTGAGATGACGACTAAAATAATTTTTGGGAAAATTCTCTTTAAAGGACTTTTATAAAAAAACAAAAAAAAAACCCTTATAGAAATAAAAGATTTAGTGCTGATTCACAAAGATAAGAGGAATAGTTTTAAATGCAGCTCAAGAGCAAACAGACTTCTATTATGAGCTACAGCAACCCATTATGAGTGCTACCAATTCACTACCCCTGGTGGTTCAGGGCCCAGATAGTTATTAATTCATTCAACAAATATTTATTAAGCCTCAACATTGCAATACACTACTTTACTCATTAAGACACAGCAGTAAATCAAAAGGCCCCTGACTTTCAGGAGCTTGCATATTGGGAGAGACAGACATATAATAAATCAATAATTTCAAATAGTGAGGACAACTATAAAGAAAAGGCACTCTTCCTTCAGCTCTCTTTCCCTTACCTTCTCAGAAGTTTATTATGTTACTTGACTCATCCTCTTTCTCAGCTTTCTTTCATGGGAGGAAGGCATAAGGAGGTGAAAATCATCCAATAACATCAAGATTCTCATAGGTAGATGACTAGTTTCAGGATCGGTGAAGGGTCTGGGGCCTGTTGCTGTTTCATGGATGACAGCAGAAAACATAAGATGCCTGGATTAGAGACAAAGGAGCATGTCAAAGCAACATGAGCATGACGTTGATGCTATTTCCCATGTTCCCCAAATCCCATGGGGCCTAAGGGGCGAAGTCCAGATGGGTGCCACATACACAGAGCATTTCTGTCGTAGACAAGAAATACTAAGTTTGGGGAATTTGCCACTTTTATAGTGTTTGTTAAGCAAGCCTGCTCTTTGTTTGGAGAGGATATTTCTTGGTTGCTCAAGGTTGCTCGCTGCAAATGCAGGCCTCAGAAACAACATGAGTAATAAATAGTTAGGGCTTTGCATTCTTTGCATTCACAGAAAAATGTGTAGAGATATTCAGGGCCCTAGGCAGACTGCTTTTTTCCAACAGGTAGAGGGGAGAAAATGGTTGAATTTTCCATCCTTTATAGTTTTATCCAATCTTAAATTATAAAATTTTGTAAAGTTCTTAGAACTTTGTCCCTACTCCCTTCCAACTTTTCACCTTATATATGATGTATTTAGGCAATTGAGGAGCTCAGACAGACTTAGATTAGCAGTTGACAGGGGAAGAGACAGATTTTCCAGTTGTTACCAAATATAACCTGAGGCTCTCATGTAGATCCTCTCATCACTAAAAGCATGGAGCTAGACCTCACGCCTTCCAGAAACCTCACCTCACCCCAGGCTCTTTTCCTGCTCAAGGTTACAACGAATGCTCATTCCTACAAACCTCCACATATTTACGTGGGTAGGGGAAAGGACAGAGTGTGACATGCTCCCAGCCCTGAGCACTCCCCGCATCACCTTCGCTCTTGCATGCCGGTAGAAAGGGGCCTTCCAGGATCACCCTCACAGTCCACTTTTCCTGGATTCTCAAGTCATAGACACCTGCCTCCTTCACCTTCAGAAGCAGAGAAAAACCATTCATCCTTGTTCCTTGTGTATAGGGTTATCTGGCCACTTGTGGAAGAATTTCATACTGCCACAGAGGTAAGGCCTGGGGGGGACACAGCGGTGGGGATTAACAGCTCTGGTAGAGAGAATCACTCTAGAAAGGAGAGGAAGAGGGCAACATGCAGTTCTTATTCACTGTGAGGTAATAAGTAATAAATCTGCTTCTGAACCAGAACAGCTCATGTGCTCATTCAGGATAAAATGAGTAAAGATGAATATTGAAAACCCAACATTAGGCAATTGAGAGGTGTGATAACACAAATATTTCCAGACCACAAGATAAGTAGTTATAACAAATACCTGGTGATATTTGAAGAGATATTATGTTTGAGCTTCATTGTGTGGAATGAGTAGGAGTTTGCTGGTGTACAAGTAAGCTGGAGCACATTCCAAACATAAACAATTATACCAAGGATCAGAGGTGCACCTTTGTTCAAGTTTTTACAAAATTTTCCCTTTCTTAAAAGTACTTTACTTCCACATATCACAAAATTGTCATATTATATTGATTTTATTAGAATAAGACACTTTACTGCCATATTCCAAAACAAGTCCTAGTAACTATACAAATTGATCTGACCTTTTCGAGATGTTCAAGGTACAGTCTATACAACCATACACAGTGGCCCTGTCTGCTTGGCTCATTAGGGAGAAAGCAAGTTGTTCAGCATAACTAGAGTAAAGATTATATGTGAAAGAGTGATAGGAGACAAAGACTGGATAGAAAGACGGAGGTCAAAACTTGAAGAAACTTAGGGTCCATAATAACGTGATTAGAATCAAACCTGAAGGTGCTGGGAAACTACTGGTGGATTTTAAGCAAGAACACGTGACAGACATTTTAATAATATCACAAACATGAAACATTGGGGAAATGGTGACAGTAGGAAAAGATTAGTCAGGAGACCTGGTAAAGATATACCACATGATAATGGGAGCTGGAAAGGATGGGAGAAGGTTGATTTCTTCTGTCTCAGGGGGGAGGGAGGTCTTCTGTCTTTCCAGAGTGATGCTCTCCACCAGAGCTCTGTTTGATACCAAACTCTGTATCTTCTCTAACACCTTGATCTTTCACTTAACTCTTCTTTTTCTTGTGTCTTCCATCTCTCTCTCCTTACTCCATTCCCGCAGCCTTTGGTTTCCCCAACATGTCAAAGTCTTGCTTCCGCTCATCCCTATTTTTTGACATGAGTATTTCCCCCTGAGTTAGAATGGCTTTATTCATGCTTCATATTAGGATAATTTTACCCTTCTAAGTAACAAGTGGTCGAGCAGCCTCTAAGCAGCACTGTGGTGAGTAACACAAACACAAGGATCGCTACTGAGCTGCTATGTTGGTTTGCCAGACTTCCAGAGATTCAGACAGTAAGATAATAATAGACTCAAATGGATTCAGACAATTTATTACTTACACAGAAAAAAACAGTATTGCGTGGAGTTACTTCCCCACATCTCTAACCCCATACGATGACCTAAATGGAGGGACCCGTTGACAGAGACAGGAGTAATGGGTTGATCTTCTACTGAGAAGCCCTCTAAACTATAGCCAGGCAGTTTCTAGGCTTACATAAAAACTTGTAGTTGTATTTGAAAGAAGGTAGAGTAAGATGGAAAGCGTTGTGCTCAACTGAAACTAGGGAGATGGATGAGAAACAGTTTTACGGCAGTCTTTGGCAAGGTTCCTCTTGAGCCCCTCATGAGAAGCTTCTCTGTCCTTAGTCAAGGAGGAATTAATTGCAGGGCATTCCAACAAGACTTTAGTCAGACTTGCCCGTCTGGGCTATGTGAAGACATGTATGGTTATGTGTTGGCAGGGTTCTCTCTCAATAACTCTACCCCCTGACCTTTCATGTATCCAAGTAAGAATTATTTATAGGGGTTCAAGCTACCCATTAGATTACCTAATTAACTGTACTGGTTAATTATAGGTGCTTGGACCAAATCTTTTCTATTTGTCTTAGGCCACATCAAATGAGAGTGACTATGACTATGACTCTTAGCAGGATGATCAGGCTAACTTAAAGAATAAATTGCAAACAGGCCCCCATCCAGAACCAATCAGCTAAGTATGTTTTAGGTGCTGCTGAGATTGACATTAGAAAGCCACTCTACTTTCTTTCTAAAGTAGGAAACAGATTGCTCTATCTTTCCTGATTCATTAATAGGAGAACAGTAACAGGCTTTGGCATTTAAATATATTCTACCCTGACTGGCCAGCAGGAAGCCTGGGGCAATGTGACTGTCTATAACCATTTGCATCAGAGAGTTTAGACCATTTTATATTTGTCAGGCAGGCATAGGCCTGATGTCCACATAACAAGTAGTACCCTATTGGGGGCATAAACTATTAGTATTATTTATTACAAAAAGTATTTATTACCATAAGTATCATTTATTACAAAAAGAAGTGAGCCAATTTTGTGCCCTTTGTGATGGACAAAGTCCTTGATTGGAGCTAAATAATTTCTGCATAGCAGGCCGGAGTGCTTTGGAAGAAACACTCTGCTAATCAGAGCCAACTAGTCTAGCCATCACAGTACAGATGGCCCCAGGTGAACTGTATTCTGTTAATAGATATGTAGTGACTTTAGCAATAGCATTTTGCTGACATGGGGATCAAGGTTTGATTCTTCAGTGTTCAAATGAACAGCTCTTAAGTTTTTGTTGGTAGGGTCAGAAGGGAGTGATAGACAGAAATCAGTTAAATTCGGAGAGTAGCTATGGTCTAGAGAAAGCATACAAGAAAGTTTGTTTTTTTCTTAGATGGTAGAGAGAGACCATAAAGGAGTGACGATACTATTAGGCTAGGGGGACATATTAATGCCCAGACAATTAACCTTGCTTTCATCTTCGGTGGAAGTCATCCACTTGAAAGGTCAATAGCCTTTAGTTTAAGATCTAATGAATAAAGATCTAAGTCCTAAGATCTAAGGATCTAGGATCTAAGTTACTAAGTTACCAAGAATGGAGATTCATAGTTACCAAAGCATTCTGAGATGACTGGCCAGGCCAAGTGTCCAAAAGGTAAGAGCAAAAACGAGTAAATGATTCTTCCTTCAACTCCTGACTTCCCAGGGTTTAGGGTGTTCCTTTTCTACCATGTGGATTGTTGCTTCCCTATCATAGCCACATGAACTGTATGCCCAGTCTCTGTGGGAAATCACTTCACTCTTCTTACCCATCTTTATTATGTCTAACACCATTTGCTTGGATTCCTCTCTCAGTGGCTATCTCCTTGTATAGTCTGTACCATCCTTGAACTTATCCCACTCCTGAGGTGCGGGCTTTGTTAGGTCCACTTTATAGTTGTCACCTCATACTCATGATTACCATCCTCTGCCCTCTAGTTCAAATATATCTTCGTAAGGCATCTAAAATCCTTGCTACTTCCTGCTCATAAGATTCAATCAGCATGTTATTATGAATAACCAAAATGAACTGATGCAGTGTTTTGTGGGATACCAAGACAATCAACATCTTTGTAGATTATATCAAGGAGAACTGATTATACCACTGAGGAAATATTGTGAAGGTATACTGTTGACTCCATTAGGTAAAAGCCAACAGTTTCTTGTGGTTTTTATAAATAAGTATTAAGAAGATGGCATTAGCCAAGTCAATAGCTATATAACAAGTGCCAGGTGCTGTGTTATTCATTTTTTCCAGTAAAAATACTGCAGCCACAATTGAAATTACCTCCTGATTAAGTTTATAATAGTCCACAGTCACCTCCAAGATCTATATGACTTCCATACTGGCCAACCTGATGAGTTAAATGGAAATATGATAGATATCACCAGGCCTGCATCTTTCAAGTCTTTTATGGTGGCATTAATTGCTTTTGGTTTACTATATTGGAAGGAAGTGAAAGTTCCAGGAGCTTCCATTTAGCTCTTTGTACTATAATGGCCCTCACCTCATGGGTAAGAAAGCCAACATGGGGGTACTGTCAGTTCTAGAACTGAGAAAATAACCATATAGTGGGTAGGTGGATCAGTTGAACTAACAAAACCAACTGTGAGCTGGACATGAGCAAATACTTCATTTATCTACTGACCAAGATAAACTCCAACTTTTGTTGGAGGGTCATAGTGGTGTTTTGTGTCCCTGGGAGTTAGCATCAATTCAGAGCCGGTGTAAACCTCAAAAAATATGTGCATTTCCTTGTCTCCAAAGCACTGTCACTATCTGGATCCTGTCATCCCCATTGAAATTAAGTGGCCAATCTCAATAATGGCATCCTCTATAGACATACATGGCCTACAGAGGGGAACATCCACAGAAATGTTCAATGATGCCTTTCACTAACGTATTTCTCGTTCTTCAGTGTCTTCTAGGCCTTTGCATGAAACAGTTGGGCAATGGGTATGCAGTTTGCATATGGTAAGTTCAGCATAACATTTCCCTAAGCTTTTGGATTCCCTGTTCTACATTATATCAAAGAAGCTCTGGCATCTCAATCTCACAAACTCCAGGCCACCACTGAATTAAGTTCAAGTTTCCTTCAATCAACCAAGTAAGCTAGGGGCTACCAGTAAGGTTTCATGAAAATAATTATTAACTACAACAGGAGTTTAGCGTAATGAGGGATTCACTGGTGAGAAGAGAACCGTAGAGAATATAGAAATAGCAGCTATAAGGAACTCACCTTAAACTAATCATTGGGCTGGGAGATAAGAGTTCCCAAAGAAGAGCTCCCCCAGGTACTCCCAGGCTAAAAGCCAGTCCTTATTGGAAAGGGAACAGCCTGGTTCACTGAATAGCAGAGAAGCCACTGTGGTGTCACACCTGTAGAACTTGAAAGTCTGCCCTCTGGAACTTGCTTCAAAGTTTGTCTTTAGAATTCCTGGAAAGCTCTTCATGGGGCAGTAGTGT